ACCATTTTTTTTTCTTTTTAAAGTTAGGAGTACCTTTCTTTTTCTCTTACTTTATGCATTACACTTTTTCCTTGTAATTCGGGTTCGATAAAACATCGATTAACGACACTTTTTGGTTGATCCAGAAAACTGGGAAATTCAGATATCCGGGATAGCGATGGTCCCAAGCATCCCGGATAATTGGTTCTCTACTGTAGTAATAGATGCATGGTAACTAACTTGTACTTCACTTTAAAAGAATTTTATTGTGTTATTGTGTTCTATAAACTCAAACTTTACCTTCTAACTAAGCTTTTTAATTTAGTTTTTATTCAGATTTTTAAAAATTAAAAGTTTTAATTCAAAAATATTACTTGAATTAAAATAATTTGAAGTTTTTTTGCAGAATTATTTATAATAATTATGTGCCATCTTCTTTTTAATCATTGTATGCAGGTAGCCCATGCTATGTTAAAGTTACTGATAGTAGTCAATCGGTTGTTACGGGGTCTTCTCTGAGAATGACTTCTTTATCTCAAGGAGCACATTTTACTGTAGACACTCGAGGTCTTGAAAATGGAATATGTAAAGTAACAGTTATGGGTTAGTTAACTTTAATTCTCTATAAATCATTCATTTCCATGTTGTTTTTCTGCTACCATTAATACCTTCTACAGTATTTTCACAATTTGTGAAGTTTGTAAATAAATATGTTTAAAAAATTTATAATTATACAATGTTTGGTTATGTTTTACTAGTCAATGTTTGGTATTCCAATATATTGTTAAAAAAATCACTTTGTTTTTAACTCTTTAAATTAATGTTTTAATACTCAAGTATGAATATTTCAGTTGAATTTGCATTTTTTTTCCTTCTGATTTTCATTTTTCATGTATCCTAACTCCAGAATGGATGTAATATACCTTTAAAATGTATTTTTATTCCAGCACTAAAATAAAATTGAGTATTCATACCATATAAAATCTATTAACATGATATTACACATTCCGTCTTTTTAGTTGTTCATCTCATATACTAACCACCCTATAACCATTCAATACTGCATAATCTTAAAATTTCCTAACTCTTTATAACAAAAATCTTTAATCCATCAAAGAAAAACTGATTCCCTGCATTTGTATAGCTACTACTTTAGCATAATAATTTAGGAATACTAGCATAATACTTTAAGAAAAAAATGCCTTAATTAACCACAGATTCCATTTTTAAGGTTGTTAGGAAGTCTCCAACCTCTTGTCTTTGCAAGAGAACAGACCTGCCTAAATTGCTGTTATGATAAAAACAAACATGTGTATGAATATTGGTTGTGTTATCCATTATGCTGCGTATGTTATCAAGAATAGTGCAAGGCACAATTACCTGACTTTTTTAAAGTACAAGAATGATCACTTTCTTCACCACTCTTAAATCTTAGGATTTTTTGCTTTGTATTGATTGGAGACAAGGGTTCAATTGCAGAGCATGGTAGAAAATTTTGTGATACAATTAAATCTCTGCATTGAGATCATAAGTGATCACTTAAAAGGTTTTTGTAAATACGTTACAGCTAATAATGTTTCCATGTTTATTAGAAAGCTTAGTTTTTATATTTTAATATCATTTAAATTATAATACATCTTAAGTTATTTCTTGTCACCCTGTAAAGGCATTCTTAGGTTAATAGTTAAAAAAATAATTAAATAGTTAAAAAATTTTTTTTTGAAGAAGTCCTCAGAATTCTATATTCTGTTAGTATATTCTATATTCTATATTCTGTTAGTATTTCAGAGCTTCAATTTTTACAAATCAAGCATTATTAAAATTAAGTCTTCATCAGTAATTTTTTTTTATTTTATTGTTCTAAAAAGTTTTTTTTAATTAAAAATTTTAAAACATTAAAAATTTTGATTCATTTTCTAAGCTTTTATGTATTTAGAATTAAAGTAATAAATTTGTACTGCATTATAATTGTCATTACCACTTCGTTCATGTTTATACCATTTGTGTTTTGGATTTTTAATATATTCAAATTTTTTTTTATTAGGTCCAACTACTAAAAATATACCAGTTAATATTAACCGAACATCAAGTACTACATTTGATGTCAATTTTAGGCCTATAGAAGTGGGTAAGTGTCGTTTCGGGTATTATAAAGTTTACTTACTTAGTCACAATTTTTTTTTGTTATAAAAGTAATCAGATACAACATTTGAAATTTTTAAAGGAAAATTTTTGATTAAAGCTTATTTATGTTCTAAAATTTCTTTAAATTTTGTGTACTTAATTTTTCATTTCATATAAAAACTTGCATTAAATAATTTTTGCCATTTTATATTTTTGGGGATTGTTTGCTGTTTTACTTTTAATAGAATAATTAATGTTAAATATATATTATTTTAAATGGTTTGGTTCATTTTAAAAAGTTGAAATTATTAGTTTATAAATTTTAAAGTTTTCTTGATCGGTAAAACTATATTAAGATAGCTGACTCATTTGCAACATTGATACTTTAGAAAGTTCACTCTACTCATTCAAAAGTATCTTTAAAGGATCAAAGTTTAAAGATTTCTTTTCTCAGGTCCAATATAAAATAGTTGAAATACCATGAGTACTATTTTTTATTATGCTACTTCTTCATAGTTCTGGAAGATTCATGTTTATAAAATTAGCTTATCCTTATTTATAAAAACTTTGCTTTTTTACATCTTATTGTTGAAATGGCCCTCCTCTTTAAAAATAATATTAAATTTATATTAATAATTATTGAAATATTATATTAAATCAATAGATTATTATTAGTTTTAAACTTCACAAACATTAGAAAATACATCCTTTGCTTTTCAATACCAATAAATTTTTTAATTTCTTTTTGAACTATGACTTAAAAATGTTCTTTTCTTGCTTAAAAAAAGTATAAACACTTTTCTATAATTTTTATATTTTTAGTACAGCAGCCTAATTATGTTAAATTATTTAATTCTACATAAATTATATTTTGCTGATTATTACATGATTTCATGGTACTATTTGAGATAGTTCCAAACGTTCCTTGTGATTTTAATGCTTTAGGAAATAAAATTAGAGAATTTATTTTCATCCTTAAAAAAGAAAAAGGATCAAGAAAATTCAGTTAAAACTAGTTAATTTTATAGTAAATAGTAGCTGTAATATAAATATTTCTGAAAATCGACTTTGAAAAAAGATTTTGTTCTTGAAAGATAAAAAAATCCTCAAATTTCCTAAATTTTGGCTAATTAAACATAATTTAAAATTAATAATTTAATCCTGCAATAATAATATAAATGAATTATTCTGACAAAACTAACAATGACTTAATAATTAAATGCTTGATTTTATTAATCACTCTTCTTTTTATGCGAAACATTCTGTGCTTTGTCCAATGTTTTTTTAAAATTATTATTATTACAAGGATTTTAAAATTGTTTCGGGTTTGAAAACTAAATCATTGAAGTTCGTCTGTGTATCATAATCAATATGACAAGTTTTACATGAAGGAATTCACCTTTAGGATAGTTTATATATTAAAATTCATTATTTTAAATTCATCTATAGGTTTAACTTTTATATTTTAGGTCCTCATCAAGTTTCAGTGACTTTAGATGATATTGCTTTACCTGGAAGCCCATTTACATGCAATGTTTATGATGTTTCCAAAGTAAAAGTTTCAAAATTAGTTCCTGGAATTGTTGGGAAGCCTTGTACTTTCCAAGGCATGTTTTATTTATTTATTTATTTTTTTAACCTTTATTTATTGTTTTAAGTAATTTTCTGTCTAAGTAAGCCTGTTATTCTTTATACAATATTCTTTGTCTTATTTTAAAGTTTTAAAATATAATTATTTGTATGATGTAAGACACAGTTCATATAGTGTGTCACAGCAAAATCTAAAAATTTAAAATGCCAAATTTTTAGAAACAAGCTCACATCTGCCCAAACGTTGAATGAGCTGATTAGATACTGTATCACTGAGATTCAACTGCATTTAAAATTTTCGCTATATTATCACACATGTGCCAAGAAAGCTTAGGCAGAAATTTGTCAGATGTGTATTTCCACATGTTCCTATTTTCTGAATAAATAAAAACTTCCGTTAAAAAGTAAATTCGAATTTATAAATTTTCTTAATTTGTTTAGATATTCTGTATGAGTTTTGAGGGATCACTCAAAATAGCTCTATATAAATATATAAAAGAAAAGCATACAAATGAAATCTGTTTATCATCTATATATTACAATTAGATACACATTTTTAATATAAGTTTATACATATTGCTATTTAAATGCAGTAAACTATTATCAAAAGAAAAGAATTCATTTATATTTTTGCAATTATTGCATAGAAAGATTGAAATAATTTCTACAGAAGAGCATTACTTATACATATAATGTTTAAATCAAATTTTGTGAGCTAAAGGCTATTAATGTATAATAAATTTCAGACAGTATTTTTTTTTTTCAAAAACTAATTTTCCTCATCTTAATGGGAAAGTAGCAGGATAATTTAAATCCAATTGGGCCTTAGGGTTCTTTGCTATAATGCTTAAGAGAATTATATTATAATTTAGCAGTAAAAAATTAAACAATGGTTTAATTTTAAACTAATCTGTGTGCTCTAATATTTTTTAAAAAACATTTGTATCATTCTAGTGGATGCTTCTCAGGCTGGTGATGGAACATTAGAACTTGTTGTAACCACAAAGAAGTCATCGGTAAGAGCTGAAGTTTCTATGAGAAGCAGGGGCCTCTATGATGTAACATTTGTTCCTCAAGACAAAATCTCTCATTATGTGAACATTACATTTAATGAAGAAGATGTACCTGGTATGGTGTTTTGTTTTGTCAAAATTGTACATTGTAGATCATATTAGGGCATATATTTTCTGTATTGGTTATGTATATATTTTAAAACATAAAAAACATACAGTCTATGCTTGGAAAATAAATTCTGTTTGCTATGTTTCCCTTGAACTATTTAGAGGAATTAAAAACTTATGGACACAATTATAAAACTCATTTATCTATGAACAGTGCCATGCAAAAAGATAATTTTTTAAAGTATTATTTAGTATTTCTTCTTTATTTATTTAAATAAAGTTCAAAAGTTCAATTACTAGGTATACTAATTTTTGAATTGTGTTGTTTTAAATGACAAAATTCAGTATTTGTGTAAAATCAGTAGAATATTTTTTTAGTAATATCTAAAAGAATTTATTTTCAGTTTTCTCAAGAACTAACTATTCAACCAAATTTCTTCAAATTTTTCATTGTGTCTCTTGAAATTACATAGTTTAAAAATATGTGAACAGTTGAATATCTTATCGTTCTTTTCTTTTTTATATTTTTTTAGAATTAATTCTCAAAAATAATAAATAACTGTAAAAGTGTCATTTTCACAAAAAATTATCTTTTGAAACATGAGTTTTATAGATTTGTACAAATTTTTTCTGTACAACTTGAATAGTTACAGAGATTATATGTAAAGGCTTATTTTGAAATTTTCCTTTCTTTGAAACTGTTTCACCAATTTCAGTCAAATTTTATATTTTGCCATTTAAAGTTAAATATTTGGAGATATTGTTGAAATTTCCATGTATCACATTTCACAAATTTTTCATGAATAATAAATTAAATGACTATAAATAGATATAAAATTTTACTTTATCCATTAAATTATCCTTAAAAAAAGTGAATTGCATGGTTGCTAGCAATTTTTTTTTATTTTGTACCTTATATAATATTGAATATATTTCTAGAGATGAGAGATGTGTAGAAGTAAGCAAAAAGAGAGAGGAAGAGGAATATGAATGGTTTAAACTTAAGAGTATCCGATTGGGACCACATATTCTAGATTACAGTTATCTTTTTTGAAATTGTAAAGTAAGAATCGACGTTGCAAGTGGTGCATTACAGTTTGCATTTTCAGATGTAATTTTTTAGAAATAACAGTTGAAAATAGTTTTAGTTTTGGTGTACAAGTTACCAAAATATAATTCGACAATAGACATAATGATAATGCAATAGACATAAAAAATATACACTTCACAGTTGTACATTAGGAAACATGTATTCTTATAAGATAACTAGTTTTCATTTTTGTTTTTAAAATAGTACCATGAACTTTGGTCTAAGTTGTAAGATTTTTTTAATAAATAACTGTCAATAGTTTTGAATTTGATGAAAAAAAACTATAAGGATACTATGGACTACTTTTACCTGGAATCTATGTTTTTTTTTTTAAGATAGCCCCAATTTAAAGAGTGACAAGAGTAAAAACTATGCACTTTCAATCTGTGTTGTAACTTTTTTTTTAATATTACAGTAAAAATAGTTGTATGTCTGATTTCATAATTCACAAAAATTGTCTGCATTAATAAATTAAGCTTTATCCCTTGAACCATTAAATTTGTATCTTAGTATGCTATTAACAGATAATTAGATCAAAAATTTTTTAGGTATTGCTGCAACATGGGATGGATTAATGAGGCATATGCTATAATATCATGTTAATTTATCTAAACATTTCAAATTTGTTTAACTCTATATCATAAAGGAGTAACATTTTGGATTAATGTTTCTTTCAGTTAATTAAAATTAATTTTAATTTAAAATTTGATTCTTTGTAAGTTTAAATAAGTTAAACATGTCTCTTCAAAATTTGTTTCTCTTTGCTTCAAAGAACTTTCTTACATCATTGTTAAAAATTATTTTAATATGACACAGTATTCTAAACTTGCAAATTTCAAACCTTTCATCATATTTGTAACTCAATTCACATTTCTGAACTTTTAGGAAGTCCTTTCAAAATTGAGGTACACCATCCAACGTCTGGCAAAGGAATTCATTCAATTATTGCAAATGGTGATGGTTTAAAGCAAGGTCTAGTTGGCTCAGTTAATGTATTTGATATTGAAACAAATGGTTTAGATGGTGACATTGAAGTGAAAATAACAGGTATTTTTATAATTATTGTTCAATTTGTGTTAAAGTCACAGTTTTGGTTGTTTCATGCTTTGGAAGTTATTTTAAGTTTAAATTCTTTTGATACTTGTTGGAAGCATTATTTCCCCTATTTTATTCAATTTACTTGAAAATTTAATGTTATTTACTTTTATGACACTATTCCCATTATTATAGCATTTACTTTCACTTATTGTTTTTGATTAAATATAAAATGTATAAATGTGTATAATAAACCTTGATTTCAAAAGCATTTTTCATTCAATGTACATCACTTTTGATAAATTTTTTTTTTGTTTTTGAATTTTAGTGTCTATCAGAACTATAAATATTGTAGCAATAATATACACACTGCTAAGTGTCAAACAATTAATTGCATGGCAAAAATGAAAAAGATATTGATTTTACCAATACAGATGACTCTATGAACAAAACATATTATCCACAGTACTTTACTTTTTCTTTAAATATATTTTTTACAATTTATTATTTTAAAATTGCTTTTTGAGCTCTTCCTAAAAAGTATTTTCAATACTTTTTTCCTTAAATATTTTATGTTTCCTTCTTTATCAAACTATTGTGATCAATACTCTAAAACATTTAAGAAACAAGGTTTTAAAGTTTTTTTTATTTATTTTGTTATAAAATTGTATAGTAAATGCTATTCTATTAGAGAGTTTTTAGTTTCTTATTTGAGCTTTTCTTCTATTTACTAAAGGTCCAAATGGAACTACTGTACCTGCATCTGTTATCAATTTAAAACATGATAGCTATAGGGTGGAATACCAACCTCATGAAATAGGAACTTACAAAGTTGAAGTTTTGCATCAAGGATCCACTATTTCAAGTAAACCATTTCTTGTTGAAATTTGTGATCCTAGTAGGGTCAAAGTGGTGGATGTTGAAGATGGCATCATAGGACGAGAACAGATTTTTAAAGGTAATAGTTTTTTATAGTTTGGTAAAAATCATTGAACTGTATATATTATGAATATAAAATATTCCAGCATTTGTTTTTAAATTCTTAGTATTTATAATTATTAATGATATTATTGAAATATATTGTTTTATATGTCAATATTATGTAATCGTTGTCAATTTGTGTAAAGAATCAGAAGTAAAGTGAATGCAGGCCTTTAAATAATTAAATGTTCCAAAAATAGTTGTGATGGTTTGTATCAAAATCTGCTCCTTGATGAAATAAAAATAAGTTGTCGATAAAAATGTATTTTAGGAGTCTCTGTTATCTCAGCATTGTTTTTCACTAATGTCACCTCAGTTTAATGCAAAAAAGAAAGCAATTTTTTTTAAAATTTACGTCAAAGTTGGGAAACGTTTGTGTCTTTATGAACTTAGTTTTTTATAAGTGCATAAGTACAGTTTTCTTTTTTCATATTTCATTATTTTTTAGTGATAAATGTAGTTCTAATCAATATCTAACTCAATCATTGGAAACTAAATAATAATTTTTAGAAGTATTGCCTTTTTATTTTATAAAAAGCTAAGACTTTTTGATTAATATTATTCTCAAAGGTATTCAAAGTGCTTTTTGTAGAAGTTCATAGCTTTATCATTTTTGTATTAAATGTAAACAAATAGTTTTATTAATGTAAATAATTATTGTTTTAAGTGACAATTCTTTAAATAATATTCTTCATTAAACCTTTTACTTGAAATTTTCAGTTGATGTCTCCCGAGCTGGTCGGGGTAATCTAAATCTTGTTATTACTGCAGCAGGAAGAGATGTAAAGTATAATATTAAAGAAATTTCAGCTGGAATGTATGAAGTCTCTTACATACCCCACTCAGACCATCCTCATAAAATTGATGTTTACTATAATGGTCATCAAGCTCCAGGTAATATTTATTTAGTTCTTATTGAATAAAAGATTACTATATTATGTACAGGGTTTTTATGCACCGGGAATATTGAAAAAGCGTAATTCGAAAGAAAAAGTCGGGAAAACTTAATTTTACCCCAAAACAGAGAATTTGACACTATCAAACTGCAGCATTTCACTCTTTTGTTTTTAAAATCGTACATTGTGCATGTCCAATTGAGGATTAAAAGAGAAAAACTCAGATTTTTCGCGAACCAACTGTAATTAGGTGCATCTTCAAAACTCTTCTATTATTCTTAAACATTTCTGGAGTGTTGTAAATTGTATATCAGAGTTAAGAAACTTGAAATTTCTGCCTTCAGAGTATTGACATGTTGGTTTTGTTTTATGTCAGTTTTGTTTCTTAATTTTCTTTGTTCTTGGTTTTTTTATGACAAATTATTGTTTCACAAATTCAGATAATACATTAATTATTGCAAATAAAATATTTTGATAAAAATATAGTCTACTATTTTTATTTCATATCTGTTAAAGGAATAAATTCCTATTTCTCAGATTGTTTATTGACTAATTAAATATGGATTCTCTATATATTTGTTAGTTTCTTTTTCGGATGATTTGATATTTGGTGTTAAAAATTTTTTTTTTTAATTATGTTTTTTTTAAATATAAGTATCGCGCAATTAAGTGTTACACTCTATTAATGCTTATTTTTCTCATAAATAATATTTTAATCTATGCGAATTCATTGGGTTTTAATTGTTTATTGTGTTTTTGTTTTCAGAAATGTACATACGTTTATTAATTATGATTTAACTTCAATTATACTCAGATTATTTGTATATTTTTATTGCTTTTTGCAACAACTTTGTATTTTAAAATCCTGCTGAGTAAATTCTCTTAGTTTTTCCTTTCAGTTTGCTTTTATTTGTTTAGCAATTTATTATTTCTAAACAGAATTGATCTAATTTACTATGATTTACCATAATAATCCATAAAGTCGGTATCAGGATCATCATTCGGTTTTAGATATGCTGTCATTATTCTCCTGGGTCGGAAATGATGCAGAACTACTTTATCTGAAATCATTAATGATACGTCCTTTAGAAAATTTTTTCGAGGCAAGTGGTATTAAGTTTAAAGCTCCTAACCTTTTTCTTTTTTGTTGATGGATATTACAAGTTGTACAAGGCTTGATCTCAGCCAGAGCCATTGTTATCCAATTTCAAAGTAGGAATTTCTTTTCTGAAACATTGTACCTGCCACCACGTTAATCTGTTGTCAGATTTCTTTTGTGTGCATGGTTATTTGACAATATGTGAAACTTATCAACTAACAGTTGGGTGAAGAATGACTTGGAAGATCGGTATTTCAGGGATATATTTTTAAAGCTTTGATAACAGGACTTTTTTACAATATTGGTATAGGAACTGAAAGGGAACCAATCTGAAAAGACTTGAAATGCGGCAAATTGTTATTCGTGGATAACTTGAAATCAGAGTTCTACTATATCATGTTTTCCCTAAACTTTTTTGTTATTTTACATAACAAATGCCCCCCATCCCCTAATAATTAAAGGAAAACAAGTACACATTATGAAAGAAAGCATACTAACTTGCCCTAAAATTAAAGGCTAGTAAGATTCAAGTTTAAAGAATTTAGTTATGATTGTCTTTTCATTTATAATTGTCTTTTGATTGACAACAAATTTATGATTGTCTTTTCATTTTATTTAATTTAGGATGCCCTCAAATTGTTGATATTAGGGATCCAAGTCACTCTATTATTGCTCATGGATCTGGATTGAAATCTTCTTCTTGTGGAAAAACTGCATCATTTTTCATTGAAACAGGAGGTTTTGGTGAAGCTAAAGATTTTGACATCATTGTTATTTGTAAGAGCAGTTTATATTAACCTTAGATACATGGCTTGAAATTTTATATAGTGTTATCAGTTATAAATTCACGTTTAAATATTGTGTAACCACTTGTTGACTGATAAATTTATCATTTGCATTAAAACAATTAAAAATATCGAAAGTCATTATTTTAATGATTATTGCTTTGAAATTATGCATTTTATTTTAGCTTTATTGAATTATGAAAACCAAGCAAAGTAGTCAAAAGTGTATAAGTTTCAGCATTGTTATTTATTTGCTTTTATAAACTTGCTGCTTTTTTCATAATTTTCACTCTTATCTTTTTCTAATTAATTATTTTAAAATATATGCTTTGTTAGAATATTAAAAGCAATTTAAACCGTAAAGAACATGTAGTATTTAAAGAAATATATTTTTCTTAATAAATTGTCCAACTACAAAACTCTACAACTGTCATTGCTATTATTTTGTTTTTACTTAAATGAAAATTTATTTAAAAACCTGTAAAAAACTTCACTCTCTGTAAAAAAATTGAGAGCAAGTAGGTTATTCATAACAGATTTTGTCTATTAATTTCGTAATAGAAGTTATTTTCATTTCAAGTAAAAAAAAAATTATTTTGAGTACCCTTATCTACTTTTGTCCTTGTATTGTAGTACATATGACAAATTTACAATATTTTACTAAAAATGGAATAATTCTTAAAAGTATTTTTAAAATTAACTTACATTTTTTGGGCATAGTGTTATCAGAGTTTTTGTATTTTAACACTTTTGATTAAAGAACATGCTGGAAACATTTATTACATATTAATAAGGTGCATGTGAAAAGCCTTAATTCAAATAAAATTAACATGTAGAATCCCAGCAGGGATTCCAATCTCTACACTTTTTTAGCACATGCAAATTTGTGTTAATTGGCTGCAGACTGCAATACTTTGTTCACAAGTGCTGAAATCATTTTCAAGATATATGATTTTATTCTAAGAAACATGGTTAATAATTTTTTTGTACAGTAGATTTAGTATAATTAAATTCCATTGTTAAAAAAATTATTTGAAAACTACTTTAGGAATATGTAATAATATTTTTCCTTGTGTTCTTGAATTAATAGTTTTGAGGTAATAAGATCTGGGCAAAATTTATTGACAAAGTTGCTTATTGCATTTTAAAATGTTTTCTCCCTGTATCTTTTCTATTGTTAATTAGCAGAAAATATTTACTTTGACAATTTTAGCTCCCGTTGGCTCCCCACTACCTGTGAAATGTTACCAGCAAAAAGATGGAAGTCTGCTTGCTGAATGGCCTGCACAACAAGCAGGTATTATTTTTCGATGAATCCTAAATTTATTTTTAGTTTCTGGTGAGTTATATTTCTTTTGATGTAACTTACTAGAGATTGGATTTTTTCAGGGAATCATAAAATTGAAATTTTGTATGCTGGAAAACCAATCTCTGGATCACCTTTTGCTTGTCAGGTGTTTGATGCAACCAAAGTGACTTTACAAAAAACTAAAACTACCAATTTTGCTGTGGGGGAAAACATATCATTTACTTGTAAGTAAAATGTGTTGTAATTTTTTTACACTTTTTATGTTTTAATTATATGTAAATTTTTTTTTAAGTTTATGAATTTTTCTAAAGTATTTGAGGGTTAAATTATAATTATAAACTTTGAGTATGGAATAAAATTTCATTCCTTATGAATTTTTTTAATAAATAAAATTTTGCTGCTAAGAAAAATAAAACTCACTCCTTTCCTTCATAATTCAAGAACAGTTTATATTTTATATTTTTTAATCTGCTTTGATGAAACAAACTTTTGTCTGCAATTTTTCAACATGTATCCAATTTTAATTCTATTCAACTTGTAACAGCTCCAACAGTTGTCTTATTTTTATTAGTGACTTGCCCTCTACTCTCACTCTTAATTTACTTGTTTATCTATGACATATAAATTTTTTCTTGTAATGAAAATCTTTGAGTTTTTAAATTGGTGTTTAAAATGTAGCAATTTGTGTGAGAACAAATTTCTAATTTCAAACCTGATACCGTAAATTGAATACTTAATAAAATTTTTAGATGTAATATTGATATTTATAGATATAATTTCATTTTGTCACACTGATTTTATTACATAAAAACTAGTTCGTATTTTTTGTGTAATTGATTTTTAATTAAAATTGTTGAAATTGATTAATGCTTATCAAATTTATTTTGTCAAATCAAAGAATGATCTTTAAAAAAAGTGATATTGAGTTGAATTAGATTACATATTTTGCTTAATTGTTTTCTTTAATAGTAAATCGTAGAAATGCAGGCTACGCTGAATTAGATGTTACAGTAACTAGTCCGCTTGGTAGACATTTACCCATTGAAGTAAAAGGAACTTCTGATGGTGAAGGAGAATTAATTGAATTTACACCAACTGTGCCAGGAAAATACAAAATAGCTATAACTTATGGTGGCATTGAAGTACCAGGTATGTAACCTTTTTAAAAGGTTTAATAGTTAGTTCAAAAACTGTGGGATAAAAGATTAAACTAAAACAGTGATGCCTCTTTTAATTGTTACTGTTATCAGATTGAAATTTTATTGCTATAAAACTTCTTCAAATATTCTTTTCTATGTATGAAATAAAATTATTGTATGAAGTTAGTGAAATTACAACTTGAAAACTTATCTACGAAACTTATATTTTAACTATGTATTTTTAAAAATTGTATTTTTTACAGAGATGATTGTGCTAGGGAAAAAATCTGGATTTCCGCATTTTTTGCTTATTGCATCATAATTGCGATGATTCGGAAGTTTACGAAAATCCAAGGTTCAGAAGTTGTAAGAAATCATCGATTACGTTTATGCATAAGAATTCTTGTAAATTTTATTTAGAAATATTAGAGATAGAATTCATACTTGGCATCTCTTTCATTTGAAAATATTTTTTCCGGTAGAATATTAAATGTGATTGAAAGTAAACCTATGCATAATTATTCTTTTAAATTATGCTGCGTATAATTTATTTAGAATTTCACGTTTTGAAAATATCATTGATTTAAATTTAAGATGATTAATTTTTTGAAATGCACCATTAATGATTTAATAAAAAAATTTTCAGGATTTTTGAGTTGCGCTCCTAATTACCCCTGAATTTTATTAACTTATTTTTTAACATTTCTTTTTAGGAAGCCCAGTAACTTTCATTGCTCAAGATAGTGGAGTTCCAAAAGTTGAAGGTGCAGGTCTTTCAGTCTCTCAAATAGGATGCCCAGCTTCTTTCAAAGTTATTGCTAAAGGACTGTGGGGTCAACCACAAGTTACAGTTGATGGTAATCTTAGTATAAATATTATTTTAATCCCAGTTATATAAAACTTATAAAATTATGTAGTATATATTTTTTGATTTTGTATATTAATGAAATATATTTTAACTTACAAGTGGTTATGTAATTTTACTCTAGTGTAAATTTTTTATGAAGTGTAACTGAAGCATACAAATACTTCTAAGTTAATTTTAGCATATAATGACCATCTTATTATTAGTTGGATTTTATCAGTTCTGAGCACATATCACTTTAAGTTTATATGATACTCTCAATTTTGGGTACATGAATATTTTGAGTATATAATTTTTAAATAATATGAGTAAAAAAAGGAAATTTAAAAAAAGACTGATTTTTATCTTTTCTTTACTTGCAATGATATATTTTTGATGATTGAAAAAGTTCTTATAAATAAGAGGTTGTGTTTCAAAATAGTGTTTATTAAATAAATTGTTTTAAGTGACTTATCTGTGATTATTTCATAACCACTGATGATTGTAACAATTTTCCTCCTCCTTTATCTTGCTATATTCTACAAAAGTTAAACATAAAATATTGAGCATGAAAGTTTTCTACATGCGTAAAATAAATTAAGAGAATTTGCATATTTAATTGAATTTTAGGAAAGGAACTGAACTGAATGTAAAACCACTGCTTCTAGACAAAAATACAAATTGTACATCAAATATGTAAGTGTACACGTGTGTGTAGGCGGAGCCAGTAGAGAAACAGGCTTTATAAGTGTGCGTAAGTTAAGACTCATTTCGTTCGCTAGCACTCCCTGGCAAATTTCTTGGTGTTATTTTGCAGCAATAGGTTAAACTCAAATTGTAACAGCAAAAATGAGTAACCACCAATGTTTAAATGATGGACTGAGGTGGCGAATTGAGGGGAGGCTAGAAGCAAGCCAATCTCAGGTCCAGATTTATAAAGAGTTCAATTTAATGCTCAGCGTAGTGTGTAACTTAGTGAAACAGTTCCAGGATACTAAATCCATTGAGAGAAAGCTTGAGCAAGGTCATCCAAGAGCCACAACAGCTGGAGAGGACCGCCTTTTGTCTATTATAGCGAGGCGTAAGAGAGGGACTACAGCTTCTTAACTTTCTCGTGACATGTATGCAGGCACAGGAACCCGTATATCAGGGGAGACTATTTCCAAGCAACTTCCTGAGAGAGTGTTATTTGCAAGAAGACCTTCTATTTGCCTCCCGCTCGATTTTACAAACAGGAGAGTCCGTTCAGTATGGTGCATAGAGATTACAATATAGATCAATGGACGAACGTTCTCTTCTCTGATGAGTCCCGGTTCAGCCTAAACTCAGATTCTTGCCGTATGTTCATATGGAGAGAACCAGTGACTTGATACCTACCCTCCAATGTCTGCGAAATTGACCATTATGGTGGAACAAGTTTAATGGTCTGGGCAAGCATCATGCTGGATAGTTGCACTCCTCTTCATGTCTTTGAAGGAGGATCTTTGAATGGTGTGAGGTATAGAGGGATGAGGTCTTGGAGCCCTATGTTTGCTTTTTCAGGGGTGAAGTTGGCCCTGAGTTAAATTTAATGGACGATAACGAGAGGCAACTGAGGGCGATGCATTTCTAGAGAGAGGATATTTGCCGGATGGATTGACCAGCCTGATCTCCGGAACTCAACCCTATAGAGCATCTCTCGAATGCTCTGGGGAGGGCAATTGCAACTTGCTACTCCCTCCGAGAAGCATCCAGGACATAAAAAAGCCTTGTTGAACGAGTGGGACCAATTGCCACAGGAAATGATTAACTGCCTTATTTCAAGCATGAAATCATGCTGCAAGGTCTGTATATCTGTAAGATAACTTCCGACTTCAACGAGTGTTATGCACAATCATGCATGTGTATTACAATTGTTGAATGGTTATTTGTTTTGTATTGTATCAATGTATGTACATGTTAAATTTCATTAAAATTGGTCCAATAGTTCTAGAAATAATCAACCAAATCTGCAAATTCACTTAATTTCTTACACCAGTGTATTATGTTTTTAGGTATTAGTGTTATAATGCCATTTTAAAACTTGTACTTTTATTTCAATAATTTAGTTTGCCATCTCTTATGATTTCCAAGATAGCTTACCCTCAATATTTTGAGTATTTGGAATTTTATTCTGTTTGGAAGTTTTATGTTTCTTTTAAAGGAAATTAATTTTCATGTTAAATTTTATAATTAACCATGACTATCACTGATTTATTTATTAGCTTTATGGTGAGCTATAGATCTAGCCTCACCTAACTTTATTTAAAGATTTAAGTTTATTTAACACCGTTGGCAACATTCGGTTGACAACAGTAGTTGTAATTTGGTTTTTCACTTTTTCAGCTTTACCTTTTCATTCTCGGCCGTCAAACCAGATGGTTGTGTTCTTGTTTTTAGTTAATAAATTTAGTTTATGTATGAATGATATTTCTTTCTTTATGCATAACGTTCAATAGACCCTCGAAAACTCGGGGGCCTAAAAGTGGTGACCCGAACGTGATCTGAACACGCAACCTTCTGATGCCAATTTTTGATTTAAGTATTTGTTTTATAATACTTTGAATTAATCGAATTGTATTTAAGTGCGAATGCACTGGTATGAAAATACGATTACTGGAAAATTTATTATTCTTTTGCTCTCTTTACAAAGCTTATGCCAATCTCACTTGGGGAAAATGAATTTTAACTAATCAATATTTATAACTTATAAATTTGGAAACCCTTAGATTTTTATCTTGTTTTATAAGAAGTTTTATAAGTTTTATTCTTTTAAGATATTTGTTTTGAAGAGCTTTTTCTGTTCTAATTACTTTTTATCTTTTTTTAACTCTTCAATTCTATCAGGACCTGAGACTGAGGCTGATGTTACTATAGAAGAAGAGGAAGAAGGGGTATTTTGCATTAAATATATGCCTTTGGAAATAGGTTTATTTGATGTTAAAATTCTTTGGAACAACAAGGAAATACCTGGTAATTTATATACTAACAAAAACCTATCCAACAGTCATTCAATAACTTTGATGATTTTTGGTATATCATAATATTTCTTATTTGTATTAATAAATATGTGAGATATTTTTTCTTTATTGGGCATTTTGCCAAATTTTATAATTTTTATGTCAGGAATAACTACTTCTCTTTGGCGAAGAATTTTATGCTTGTTCGAATAGTTTTTTTTGTATAAGTATTACATAACCATATTTTTATAATCATATTTATTTGTAATCACCAAACAAAGATTCAACCACCAAAAAATTAACAGTGTATAAAGTAATATTGTGATAAAGTAATCTTTAATTATGTTACAAATTTAAACTATTAAATTCAAACAACTTATTACTTTTTAAGATTCTACTAATATTGAGTTTGATAAAATTAAATTTTAATTAATGTAATGAGTAATATAGTCACCATAGTGTAGTCAATATTATATAAACATAAATGATTAATCTAGCTATTTATAAACTTTAATAGTGATTTTTAAAATACTAACAAAATATTAAAGTCTATAAAATGATTTCTCATATTTGTTTGAAAACAACTTGGAATAGGTGGGATAAAACACTTAGTCTTTGACTGATTTGCTTACTTGGACAATTTGGTTGATTGGCATTTTACATGAATAACACTCTACTGTATTTGTGTTACAATAATTGAGTATAGCAGTGTGTTATTAAATATATATGTTAACAAAACTGAAGAAGGTTCTATTTTAGAGTAGCAAAATAATTCTTTTTTTAAATTAAAGCGAATGAATAATTATTAAAATATTAAGATATCAAAACTTTACATGGTGATGAAAATTTTATTGCAAAAAAATAAGCATAAAAATTCTTTTTTGGTTAAACTCTGTAATTGTTTATATTAAGGATAAAAGTACATAAGCTAAAATGAAAGATGACCCATTTGTCCTAAATAAAAATAGACTTCCTAATTGCTAAAAATCTTTAAGGAATTTGTTGACATTTTATTTTTCTGTATAGGAAGTCCTTATCATCCCAGAGTGGTAAATGTGAATAAAATGAGAGTAATAGGAGGATTGGAAAATCTAGTTGATGAACAAAATCATATTCCCCTCATAGTTGGAGAAGAAAAACGCATTCCTTTTGATGTGTCTGATGCAGGCCCAGGTAAATTAAGCTAAGATCTTCTTGCTTTTGGGTCGTTTCTTTAAATTATATTCAATACTCTAAATCTCTTTAATGGTCTTTTAAAATTTTATTTTCTGATAATTTAATTTTTTTATCAGGCAAACCAAGAGCAGAAGTCCGATCTGCATCTGGTATTATACCATCTAGATTTGATCAAACTGGTAGTCATCGGTATCATCTTTATTTTAATCCAAAAGAAGGAGGTAAGATTTAGTTTTGTTTTTATTTTGTATCATCATACTGTTGCAATTATATGTAAATAAACAGTTTGAAGAAATAATCAAAAATGTAAAATAAATGTGTTTGTTAGCTGTATAACTGAGTAATAAAAGTAGATTAGAATTGTCAGTGCTGCCATACTAACGTCATAAAAGGTGATATGATCAAAAATAAATAATTATATAATGTAGTTTTCATGGGGGGGTCATTTTGATATTTTGAAAACATGCAAGCATTTATTCTATATTTTAAATAATATTTTTATCTCTTTACATCACATACTTCTTAAAGTTGTTAAAACTACTTAAAAATATTCCATGTTTGATTTTTTTAAAAAATTTTTTATTGGAACTAGTTGCAGACAATCTACATGTTATTTACAGTTGAATAAAAGATAGTGTTGTTATTAAGTCAGCAGCAATGTTTTAAAAAAGCAAATAAAATTAGGATTTTTACTTGTCTGATTTAATTTTGTTGTTTCTAATTGTTTCAATATTTATTTCAGGTAAGTTCATCAACAAATTATGATTGATTTTAGCAATTGATTTAATTTTATCTGATTTTTGATTAAGTTTATGCTAAACCTTTTTTTCCTGCTAAATAGCTCTGTCAATAGAGTAGAGAGGGGTAGATATAATGACTAGAGAGAGAATTCTTATCCTCGTGGACACTGCCATATTGTGTGGTCATAGGCCGGGATCAAATGCTTTCTCAAAATCAAAATTGAGAGCGTTATTTTTAATTGTAATTATGCAATTGAACAGTTCTATACTTTATGAACAAGTGTGCTCAAAAAACTATTTTTCTTCTTTATTCTAATACCAGTTTCATAATGATCAAGATGATTACCATTTACTACATTTAATGTGAACAATTGTTCAAATATGTATGAAATGTAGACTAAATTATTATTACAAAAATGTTAGTGTTGAACAATCTTTTAGATAATTTTTTAAATAAAACCATTCTTTTTAAAAAGCATTAAATTCATTTTAATATATTTTTAGTTTTTTTAAATGTAGTAAATGGTGCTAAGAGCATTATTTTGTTTGTTCAACTTTACTTATTGGAGAACCAAGACTCACAATTGCTTAACAAATATACTAAATTAATATCAATGTACTTTTTTCATTAAACTTTGCTGGTAACTTGATTTTGTGCAATTATTTGTGAAATCTAAGCAAAAACTGAATTTAATTCCTGGTATCCACAATCTTTTTATCCACAATTTATTAAAAATATTTTATATGATGCTAAAGATGCCTTGAAAGCTCATGTCCAACATTTTCATTGAATGATATTATCATATTTTGATATTTGTGTATACATAAACTTAAAAGTTTATAATATAGATAATTATGTAGATAAATAAAAATATTTATTAAGTAAATTCTTTATTATTGACCCTCTGTGATGAGATATAAAAAAGGTTTATTTTTAAAAGAATTTGCATTGTTTGTGGGCAATGAGACTGACAGTTGTTTTTAATAATAATTTAGTATACTTGAATTTTTTTGTAAATTTGAAGTCTTGTATGTCGAAATGATGTTGTGTTTAACAAATTTTGCTTTGACATGCGACTTTCATAAATTGGTGCACAAGTGTTCTTTCTGAGTTGTGTCCTTGCAGTTTTTCCATTGAATAACATGAGAGAACTTTTCTTTGAACATAAACTTTTCTTTGCATGAAAGTAGCCAGAAACTGATTTTAATGCTGACTCTTAAAAAGTTTGGCAATACTAGCTGATTATCTTTTTTATTTAGTTCTATCCTAAGCAATTTCTACACTAATTCCAAATTAGAGAGCCATTTGTATTATTTACAAAAAATATTTTTAGCATCTATACATTTATCATAGTCATACAGTATATTTCTTTAGTTCATCTTATTTGCTGAAAAAATTGATAGATAGTAATATTGATTTAGATATTAATATCCATATTGTTTATTGATATTTAATTAATGTAGTGCATTTTTCCATACGTATATTCACCAAAGTGCAGAATATGTTTTTAATGAGCTAATTTCAAGAGACCTTATAAAGTAACCAATTTTGCTGATCCTAAGGGATCAGCAAAAATGGCCACTTTAGACAGGTTTCACAGTCTTTGTAAATGCATTAATTGTTTTAACTGAATATTCAAGAAAATGCAATTAACATTACAAAATTCTCATACAGGCGAACATGAAATTTTCATTTATTTTGCTGACATACCTTTGCCATCATCACCTTTATTAGCATATGCTGAAGAACTAGGACCTACCCCTGATCACACTAGAGTTGTTATAAGAGGTCATGGGTTAACAGGAGCAAAGGTTGGAGAAGAAGCAGAATTTATCATTGATGGTTCTGAAGCTGGTCCTGGTAATAACTAAATTCCTAAATCTAGAAAATTTTTAAATTAAGTTCACCTATAATATTTGCAATAATGCCGATTTTGTAATGAGATTTTTTGTTGTTTTGATTTAAGCTAGGTATTTTTTTAAAAAAGATTTCTTCTCATTTAATATTTAAATTACTGAGTATTTTTTAAGCACAGTATGCTGAACTTGTTATATTCAAATTTGCTTCTTAGTTGAATCTCATTATCATTATTATTTTAAATTTGTGTGTTTTAAAGATGCACTAAACTGTAATTTTGACTAAATACTAAACATTCGGAAATTGAATAGTTAATTTATATTTACTACAAAAGTATAGTTTGTAAAGTCTTGTAAAATAGCTTAGAAAGAGACCTGAAGCTTCCTATTTTAAACAAATATGAAATTGTGTGATAAAATATGTAGTGGACAAAAGCATAACAAAATGAAATATTTAAATTGTTTGGTCGTGGAAAAGCACAATGAGATACAATGTGGGAAAGAACAATGAGAAATTTGGTATCTGGACATTTTTCTTCAAATGTAATTTTTTAAATTAATTTTTTGAACAGACAAAATTTTTTTAGATATTTTTAAAATTTTCATATTTATTCTTTCATGTCAAATGCAATAAATTGGGGCTTTTCTTCTGAAAAGAAATTTTAAAATAAATTATTTTGAGTTATACTGTCACAGTTTACTTATAAATAAAAATAAAAGACTGAAAACTTGTCAAAGTTTTTTTTCATGATTGTGTTACTTTAATATATGAATTTTTGTGTTGTAATTAATTAAAATATTTTGTTAACCTATATCATTAGTGAAAGAAGTTAAAAAAAAACTCGAAAAAATAAAAGTATAAAAAGAAATTTAAAACTGTTTCATAATTTATAATAAACTATAAAATCAGTGAATATTTTCCTCATTAATTAGTTTTTTCTTTTTGTTTTAAAGTGTTGTATTTCTATTAATTTTTAGGTTTTAAAATAATAATAATGGAAATGCATCATTATATACTTTATTGTATATTTGTTAAAATACTATTGAACTACTAAACACATTTTTAAGTTTATCTTTTTTTTGTAAATGAATCAGATCATAAATTAAAGAAGAAAATTATATAGCCAGTAAATTGAAATTTACAATATAGTTTGTTATCAAGCGCAACTAAATATTTGGGAGTAAAGACCAAATACAGTATTGTTACTGAATATTTGGTGCATTTGTAGTCAGCAATTGATGATGTTAAATTTCTTTTTTTTCTCCATTTATTTGTGTAAAGTGAGTTACAATCACAAGCTATCACAGAATCATTCACCATAAGCTCTACACGAGTGTTCTAGTAATGCCACCTTCTTAATATAAAAGTTTTATGAAAATTTCAATTAATGTTATTTGTGGAATTTCAAATTTGTGATTCTGAAGTAATAAATTCTAGCATTTATTTGATATGGTTTTCTTCATCTGTTGTATATTTAAAGTTGTTTTTGACATCCTTTCTTTGTTTATTTAGTGAACTAACATTAAAAAAAAATAAAAGTTTGAATAATTTATTAACATAATTGAACATAGAAGTAGTTTTTTTTGTACACCAGACATTCTTGCAATGTTTCTGTGTTTTAAAATATGGCATTGTTTATTAAATTGTTAAATTTATATTTTGAGCAGTTATTTGTTTGCAAACTTACTTCGAAATGTTATATTACTGTAAAATGTTGACTTTNTATATATATATATATATTGGAACTTTGCGAAGTAAGAAAAATAACTAAAGAAGTCATTTTGAATAAAACAAAGGTTTCTTTATCTCTTGCAAATTAACATGGGCTATGTACTTAACTATATCATGATTGAAAATTAACAGGAGTAATGAGTTTTTGGACGACTTGAGGGAATTGATTACTACCAAATATTTATGAATTCACTTCAAAATTGCAAACTAAAATTTGAAGAAGATTCATGCAAGGTTTTAAAAATTACAAATTGAAAAATATAGAATTCAGAGAAATATCACTAAAGCAAACTTATGAAAAAGTACATATTTACTGCAAGTAAACTAAATTTTTTATTGCTTTCTATCTATAAAGACTTGAAAATTGCAGCAAAATTGTTTTTTTAAAAGTAATTTATAACAGAACTAGCATTATTAAATAGTTCATTCTTATCTAATTTCTGCATCTGCCTTGTGTAGTAGGAATAAAATATCATTGTAATGAATATTTTGGAAATAATGGTATTGAATATTTAGACATTAATTGTAAACAACTGTTCAAGAATTTTATTCTTAAGGAGGCAGAACATTATCTTCTATCCCATGTCTAAGCCTAATGAATGGAGTCCATAAGAAAAGTTAAAGAAAATTGATGATTTTAAAAAATTCTGAAATTTGTTTATTTTGGTATAATGCCAAAAAAGCAGTGCTTCTTAAAACTTTTTTAAATCTTATTTTGAATTTTACTTCAATTGTAGGTGCATATTTATTGAATGTGATGTGGTCAGAACGACAAGTTAAAGGATGTCCTCTGAAAGTTAACATAACTGCTTCTTGTGATGCACAAAAAGTAGCATGTTCTGGTGATGGTTTAAGAGGAGGTACTGTGGGTAAAGAAATAAAGTCTTTTATTGATACGAGAAAGGCTGGACCAGGTACTAAAATGCTGTTTATATTTCATTTTAATTAAAAAATTATTATAGTTAGATTAGTACTTGTTTCTGCAGACTTGTGCCCAAATAAATATTAAATTGTTATAGTTGAAAACAAATTTTATGACGCAATGAAATTAATTGTCTTCTATTTTAAATACATCAAACACTGAATATAACATTCATGTTTTAGATAACTTAAAATGAAATTTTATTTAAAAAAATCATGGTAAATCTTTTGCAAAATATTATCAAGTTTTGCTGTTCGTACAATTATGGTTTCTTTCTTAACTTAAAGATTGAAAATAAAAGGGGCAAACTCTAAATTTTTGTAAACTCAAATACTATAATCAAATTCTTTAAATTCTTTGTTAATAAAATTAAATGTTTTTGCACCTACTTGATATTGCTGATTCATTATTCACTAATCATTTCTATTTTCTTTGAGGTAATGAAAATCATCTATAAATTTTGGAAATATTTAAAATTGAATTAGACTAATCAACAAAAATAACAATTATTTGTATTGAGATATACTAGCTGTCTTCTTTTCTAATGTTTTCTTTTTTTTTAACTTATAGGTGAACTTACAGCACATTGTATGGGTCCTCATAAGGTAGCATATTGTGAATTGTATGATCATCGAGATGGAACATTTACATTATATTTGAAACCTCAAGAAGGTGGTCGCCATGTTTTAACAATTAAATATGGTGGAGATCATGTTCCTGGTAAGTATTTTCATGATGAAGTTTTTTTATAATATAGTTTTTGGAAGATTAGCTTCCAAAATTTAACTTGAAAGTTCCATTTAAAATTTTCACTTTGATAAATAGCACATAAAACTGCAGATTAAAACATAATTTACTGAAAAATATTTAAATGCAGTTTCTGTTTAAAGACTTCATTTTAATAAAATAAAATAAAATTTCAATTAGGTTGGCTTAAAATTTTATATTGTGTTAAATTTATGTGAGAAAAGGTCTTCCAGAATATGTAATTTTTTTTTTAACCTGTTAGTGATTTATAGAAAAAAAGTTATGTATGACTAAATCTAATGATTTTTTTTGTTTGATATCTTAATATCAAACATTTTCATATTGAACCTTTATTTCAATTTCTTAGTCTGCATAATTGAACTGAAAACAAAATCAGTTCTCATGAATAACTTTTATCTAATGATCAGTTCCATTATTGTTTTCAATAATCATGAATCAAGACACATTTTTAAGGGTTATGTTTTAAATGTTCTTATATTAGAAGTGAATAGAGTTACACTAACAAAAATGTAGTCTTCGAAAAATTTTTTTTATGGCATTTTTTAAACTTTACTGTAATCTTTTACGTGTATTTCTTAAAGTTTTGTCAGAATACTGAATAAAATTTTGCCCCTTTAATGTTTGATTATTTTAGTTTTTGCATTTTTTTGAAATACATGAAAAATGTCAATTAAATATGCTAACTAATTTCATATATCATTAAAGAATATATCTTTGTTTGAAAAATCGTTGAATTGAAAGTGAGTGCTTTGTTTGAATCGAAAAAGTTATAATTTAAAGTTAGCTTTCTGTGTAACTTAAATTCACATGTTCACTTAGACCTGCTAGCTTCTTTAGCCAGAGATTTTCCTCAAATATTTATAGTATTAGCAAAATTTATGCTCTAACATTTGATTTAAAATGATTTTAACCACCACAACTTATTTGTAATAGATCTGATAAAATAGTTTTGATAAGATACTTCTGATAAGCATAGTGTTTTAAAAACGTTTTAAAAACGTTTTTTAAAAACGTTTGTTTCAAGCAGCTGCAAAATCTGCTAACTGTTTTCTAAGAAGAATGTGATAACAAACTGTATTGCGAAATTTGTTTGCAAGTAATTTTTTTAAAGAATTAAAATATTAAGCTAATGGAAATAGAAAAAAGGGTTGTCATATTGAAGCTAGAAAAACTTTATACTATGATATATTTAACATATTTTTACCAAAAGTTAAATTTACTTGTTTTGGATTTCTTTATAAACTCTTGAACTAAACATTTCAGGTAGTCCATTCACAATAAGAATTGCTGGTGCTCCTGATGCATCTAAAGTAAGGGTATATGGCCCAGGAATTGAACCTGGTGTGCTTGCAACTTATCAGAGTAGATTCATTTGTGATACCAGAGGAGCTGGAGCTGGTCAACTGACTGTTCGAATTAGAGGTCCTAAAGGTAAAAATATTTTAACCAATTAAATAAAAGCAGAATATTCTGATTAACAATTTCATTATTAATTTTCTTTCTTCAAGCTGTAACTTGGCAGCTTCTCTCAGTAGCAAACTTTTTAATTCTATTATGAATGATTTGTTATTTTCTCTTTCTTTCAGGAGCATTTAGAGTTGAAATGCAGAGAGAAAGCCAGAAAGATAGAACTATATTATGCAAATATGATCCCACTGAACCTGGAGATTATAGATTAGAAGTTAAGTGGTCTGGAGAACATGTACCCGGCTCACCATTTATGGTCATGATATTTGATACTCAAGAAGAACTCAATCATTTTATTCAAGGACAATATCAATCTCAATCAGGAGGACCCCCACCGTTACCTCCAGCTGATTATTTCGGTGGTAGTTTAACATACAGTACAGGATTTGGCCAGATGTCATGGAGAGGATCTACTGCAGAGTTGTAAAAATATTTTCCAATTTGTGCCACCATTTTAAAACTGTTTTTTTTTTATCCATATCATATTGAAAATTGCCAATATATGTTGAACAATATTATATTGCCATTATTATTATATTGACAATATTCAATGGAATTTATTTGTGACAATTCAACACATAGTATTGAATTTGTTCAAACGTCATGGAAGGATCTACAGTAGAGTTGTAAAAGTATTTCAGAATTTTCACCATCATTTTAAAACACATTTTATTGTTACATTTGATAAATAAATTATATTTATCTATGCAATTCATTTTTTGATTTAGGAGTCATTTGAAAGTTTATATTATATTTTTATAAATGAATATGAAGTTTTTGGTTTAATATTAGTAGTTATTTTCTCAGACAGTAAGGTTTAGGTGATGACCTTGATTCTTCTATGTATTTTTTTAAATATATATTTTAGTATTAATGATTGATAAATGCACTTTGCATTTTTATTCTCTACTGTGCCTTTTCAAATGTAGGGAGTTATTTCATTTCTGGTAATGAAATGGGAACAAATACTAAATAAAGTAATTATTTTATGTTTAATTTTATGTCCGTTGTGCAGCATTCCATGTTATTTAACCCTTAAGTTTTATAGCATCACTCTAGACACATGGAAACAATTATTTCTGAAACAGAAACTGTTAAGGATTGATAATAAGACAATCATGTTCTATTAAATGATGCATTATAAGCAAATGCAAAAATTAAAATGCATTTATTTTCATGGATAAGCCAATTTTTTAAACAAAAATTTTATGTATTTTTTCTGTGTATGTATTGTTTCATTTTAATTTAACAGAATTGATAAAATGATGCTAAATGAAATAGATTTATTCTATTAAATTTTGTTACATTGTTTTCATTAATTCATTTGTATAGTTAAAAAATTGTGCTATTTTTGGTGCAATGTAATTTAAAAATTGCGCATATACATTCCACTAATTATGCAAATGGGTAATTGTTTTAAAACATTATTTTGAATGTTTGAATGGTATTGTTTTTTTTAGATTGTTAAAGATCTGTTCTGTTAATTATTTGTAATCCTTATATATATGAGATATTTCTAGCTAATTGTTGAAAATATAATTGTTTATTTTTGTTTATATTTGATTTGTGTCTCTTGTTTTATTAAGATTGTTTCTACTGCATTATTAGCATTGTTTAATAATAATTATGTAATGTTTATTTTGAAAGAAATCATCTCAGGCATATGCATTACTGAAAGATTAATTTTTCAAAAATTTATTTACATGAGTTTTTATACATTACAAAGGCAATATAAATGATAAACTAAGAACTAAATTTTATTAAGTAATGCCTACATTTTTTTTAGAATAGTAAGAAAGTTAGTTGCTGTACCAAATATTTCGAAATTCCTTAATGTTTATGTATCTTGTTAGACATAACAAATTAATGCTAATAAGATTTCTAATAATTACGTCATTTATTTCACAGAAAACTTAATATCTTGCAATTAAATATATAAAAAAAGTTAGTAGGCACAAGGAAATGTCTATTTGACTGGTATAAACATTAAGGGGGAAGAAATCTCAGTGGTATTATGTTGGTGATGAAGGATCTGAAAATAATTCATAATGAAATGTGACAGAAATCACTAGGAAATCATTGTTTGCATCTTGGTAATGTGTGTTAAGTTAAGAGGAGATATTCAAAAGTGAATTTTAACTACTTTGCTATTTTTACACAATTTAACACTTACATTTTTATAAAATATTTCACACTTGTTAATTTGCAAATGAGTATATTGCTGTTATTTTATGTGTAAAAATTTTATAATTTCAAATATAAAAAATAGGCTGATTGTTATTCCATATAGAGCTTTACGTAATGAAAATTACAACTTAAAAAAATTTAAATAAAATACCTTTTTTTTGTTTCTGATAGTTCAAACTATCTATGAATTATTTAAACAAAATAATAAGAATTTTGCTATTGTCTCAAACTATTTGTGATAAGAAGTAAAGTAAAACTTACAGTGGAATATGAAATAAATTATATTTTAATTGGTTCTGTATATTTAAGCAGTATAATGCAATGTTTATTCTATTATTTTGGAAATAAAATTTTATATAAATGTTGCTTAGTTAGATCAGAAAAGTTTGTACTTGGATAACTTGCTCAATTATTAGTTGTATCCTATATTTACATAAATTTTATTTTAAAATAATTCTATTAATATGATTAAATTGATATAATGAAATAAATTCCTTGTACAGACTGTTTATAAGGTTTATTTCAACTAGAATGACTATATTTAACCTTTGGATATAGGAAAATGCTGTTTGCCATGGAAAATGTTATAAAAGAAATTCAATCTTTGTTACATTTTATTCATGAATTTGAGCAATTTTTTTAAGAAAAATGTTTTATAGCTAAAATAACCCTTTCAAGCATTTGTTAGACTTAATACTAAAGAAAAAAATAAAGATAAAACTAATGTTATTAGAAATTATGAATCTGGTTTGTTTGTCTTTGAATTTTTCAAGTCTAATTTTTTGAAATAAATTTTCAAAGAAACTCTAATCCTATTGCACTTACAGAATTTAACGTATTGTTTTATACCATCTTTGAAGATTAGTCACCCTAGTTATAGCTCAAAACCACAGCCTTTCATTATAAAATAATTTCCATTTCTTAGGGCATTCCAATTATGCATGTAAGAAAATATTGTTTTTAAAGAGAGAATATATGTTAAAAACTTTAAAAAATTTTATTATACTGCATTTCTTTTGAATGCCTAATTTACTATGAACAATATGTATATTTTAAGTTTTTCTTGTTGATATTTTTTAATTTATTTTTAAAATACTTTTATCTACTTGTACTATTTTGTACTTAACAAGATTACTATCATATTGTAATTAATAAAATTTGTTTTGTTAACTGACTGTTTTATTTTATATTAAAATTAAATTTTTCACACAATACAGATAGTTTTTATTAGAAATGACAATTTTAAAGATTTGGCTCTGATTTACTTTTCATTTTTAATGAGTAAAATATGTTTTTTGGAAGCAAAACAACGTGAATCAAGCACAAATAAATGCTATTATGATTTTGATTCTATGGACAAGAACCTTCCTCAGTAAAGTATAATAAAGTATAATCGATCGTGATTTGAATTTTAAAAAAAATTTGTTCTGAAAGTATAACAAACCATAAAATTTTCTTATCCAAAGTGACGATAATATGAAATAAAAAATTTGATTATAAGTCTTTGATTAAAAAATTCAACTTATATAGATATTTTTTTTGTGTTTAAAAATTTAGTGTATTTTCAGAAACAGTGTCATTGTTCAGTGTAACTTCCTTTTTTAGTTTTTGTGAGATGCTGGTCAGCTTAGTCATTTTTTGTACATTGAATAAAAATTTGCTGAAAAAGGCAGTTTTTCATTCAGAAAGCTTGTTTTTAGAATATCTAAGCTATATTAAGTTGAAGAAAGCCTTCCTATACTTTAAAATTTTTCGATTTGAATAAAGTACCAATCAAAATACTCAGCAAAAGAATAATTTTTTATGTGTCCTTAATAATACAGGAGTAGAAATGGTGAGTGCCATGTTTGCCCATAAAATATTGCATTTAAAGAGAAAGCTGATGGATGAATAAAAATAAGGCAAAATTTCTTTCTTAATGACATATCGAAATAATTTACAGATATTTGTTGCACAGTCAACAAAATAAATAAGACACCCGGCCAGGACTGGTCCAACCTAATTTTATATAAAATATTTTTAAAGTATTATTGAAAATAATTTATTTAATATATTATCAAAAATATCTTTGGTGCCACTTTCCATTAAGGATGGAAGAAGTGAGAGATATATCCCTCTCCATTAAGGATAAATAACAGATATCTGCAGAGTAAAAAATTTTTTATTCACAATTTAAAAATTTTGTAAAATCTACAGTTGTTATTATTTTTTAATGTTTTGCTGTACGAACTACTTATATTCAGAGGTTAAGCTAAGATAGAAGGAATTATGTTTTGTACTCTTCCAATAAACCTCATAGCAAATGAAGTATTTCATTATTATTTTTATTTAGTTAGTTACTTATTTCACTTTGTTAAAATTTATATAACATTTACAGACTAGAAAATAGCTAACGAAACAGCGTTTTTGTTACTTAATTTCAAAGAGTTAGCAGGTTTCAATTAATAATTCACGCCATCAGAAACCTTTTGTCATTTAACGTGAAAAATTTAACTCGTAAAGATCAATTGTTTTTTGAGCAAAATATCTGGAGAAGTTATTTTTAATACCGTCCAAATTTTCTGCTTGACAAAATTTGATTTTGTTATCTATGGTAAAAAATTTAAAGCGTAAAATTCAATTGTTTTTTTGAGCAAAATATCTGGAGAATATACTATATCCATCGTATTTTTCCCATTTAAAACAGTACAAGAAGAATAAAAATTATTTCTAAAAAAAATTACAGAAGTAAAGATTATAAAAGAAAAATAATATCATAAAAACTGAAGTTTCTACTTACCTGAAAAAGGGAAATCCAACATCATTGAAAAAAATAACATTTAAAGATTGAAAAAAGGACTAAAAGGTGCTGTACATGAATGCATTAGTTTCTACTAGTTTATATTTAGTTTCCTTTTCTGTTTTTACAAAATATGTAACACTTCATCTTAACTTACACTTCTTCACTGATATTCGGTAGTCAAATGTTGAAGCTACAATCCGGTAAATCTGAAGAATATGTTTCCTTTAATCTTTCTAATTTATTTTCATCTGCAGATATGATAAAGGACATCTGTCTATGTTTCTTTGCACCTTCTCCCCTAGGTATGCCACTGAAACAGGGCAAAAAGTGGTTGTCAAATTAAATTGTTATTGATTTATTTAGTTGTGGGATAACAAATTCTTTTACTCATTTATTGCACCACTACTTGCTTTAAAATAAAATTTTCATTTAGTATCTGCTAAAGCTTGTTGAATTTAAGTAATGCCTTACGCCCACTCATCAGTTTTTTTTTAGTCTATTGGATTTGGGTTCATCTATTGTGATTTATCATAACCATCAATTTCGCTTTGATATATTGTATTTCTATGATGAAGTTTTGGGTTCATGTGAGCCAAATTATTGTTGATAAGTGTTATGTTCATTCGGGATATTACTTGTAATTTCTCTCTGGTTAATTAATTTAATAAAAAAAATGTTGTTTGCTTATGAATTCTCTTTGCTTGTTGAAATTAACATTAAAATCGCAAATCGTGACTCTTATTATCATGCTTTCATATTCATCTAAAGCAAATTTAATTCGACACGTTCAAAGTGAAGGGAAAGCCAAAAAAAAAAAAAAAAAATCTGATGTTTGAGACTTATACAAGGAGAGGCAAAAAATTCAGACAAACAATTTTTAATATAACTTATTTTATGGAAAATAAATGAATTAACAAAATACAACAAATAATAATAATAGAACTAATAAATAACCTAACAAATAATAATAGTAGACCTATTAAGTGGTAGCCTTTATCAACGATGCAGAGTCGCAAACGCTAACTGAAAATTTCAGCAACGGGCCTCAAATCGTCTACCTTTAATCTATCCCATTTGGTGCCGATACAATTTCTTTAAAGAGTTCAAACTTTTGTCTGGTTTAGTGCAGGCATTTGGCTAGAAAATGAATCATACACTGTAATCTATGGGGTTAAGATCTGGTAAGTAGGGCGGACATTTCTTTAATATCATATCTGGAAAATGCGTCTTGCACCACTCTTGTGTCTTTTTGGCCCTGTGAGCTGTATGATAGATGTACTTTCAAAAACGTAGCAACAATAAGAATGCAAATGCTAAAAAAATCTCTCATTTAACCTCCCAATTAATCATGTCAATGGTTCAAAAGTTTCTAAGACTCCTTTCTTATATAGCACAATAATTTTCTTTCCTTCCTTTAGTCTTTGATACGGTCCTTACGAAAAAACTGGTGACAATTTTGTTTGAAGAAACTGAAAATTATTTTCTATTAGCTTTTCCATTAGAATTAAAAATTTAGACCATGAGATTTTGTATCGTATATATTTACTTAAATAAGATTAAAGAAAAGAACTGTTTTTGTCAATTTTGCACAAAAATGACGATTGGAGCGTCATCTTGTGCATCATGTAGATTACTAGGGACGTGGAAAGGAGTGTTATTACAGAGTGAAGATGGGCCGTACTGGAGTTAAATGGTTCCTGTCCAAACCTAGACCAGAACAAAGAAAAGTATAGTGGAGTAGAAGACTGGTCTACTAGTGAGAAAGCATTGTTTGGTGAAAAATTTTATGGAAAAAATGGTTCTTGTCTTCAACTTTATTTTTCTCAAAATGAAAAATTTTAAATTTTCTTTTGAAATTTTTGAGATTGTCAGTAAATGCTCTTTGCTTGACAGATGTGTATATTTTTATTTTTGCTTCTGAGAATTCTCAAACATTGACATTCGTTTTTCTCATAATCAGTTTTCATGAACCTAAACCATTCTTTCCCCTTGATCTTCAAATATCATAATTCTTTAGAAATATTAAAATACATTTGTCTCACTTTTCAAGGACCATACGAATCCTGAAATTATAATCTGCAGTAAATAATTTGCATATTTAAGGTGTGCTCTCTAACTATGAAGATTGTATTTCTATGCATGAAAATGCAATTACTAAATCAAAAGCTATTAAGTTATGATCATATTTTCATGTTGAAGTTAGTCAGTGAGGGAATTTACTAAGTGAAACAAAACAAGATTTGATACCCAAGAGTATCAAACTATAAAGATACAGCGAATAAATTATGATTGTAAATTATTTTCCAAAGGAAAATTTTTTTAAGAAAACTTTACTATAAAACTAATTAGGAAAAATTTAGTTTTAACTCAGTATAAATAATAAATAATAAAGTAAACTTGATATGTGTAGTTTTAATAACGACTTTGAAATTGAGGGATATAATTAAGGAACACGACAAGTTTCGGTCCGCAAGTTCGTGTATAAGAGTAAAATGAAATTTTTTAAAAGACAATATTTTTATGTTCTGTACTTTTTATTAATTACTATCCCCCATTTAACCGCATATAGCGGAACATTTATGAGACAATACTCAATGTGTCTTGTTTCGCGTAGAATAATATTATTCTCCCTGCACTATTTACCACATTAAATATGAGTTTTACAGAATTGCCCTGTTCTTGCACTACTCGAATCAACAATAATTGATTCTCTTTGCAATTGGCACAATACTCAAAATAAATAAATCAAACATTTTAAGAATTTGGGCATGGAATTTGAAAAAAGAAATGTGCTTATAACATGTTGAATGTTAAAAGTTTTATTGTTAGCAAATTATGAAGATTAAATTGTAATGAAATCATGATTTATCAATGAGTTATTTTTTCAAATGCCTTTCCTGTAATATCAACTGGTTTTGAGTTCTGGCCTTATTGCACTAAGGTTCACAATTGAAATTGCATTAAAAATTGAATTTAGAAGGCTTTTCATAGTTCCTCAATAGTTTGCATTAAACTAATTAAATATTAGTTAAAATTTTTTTTCATAATAGATTTTAGCTTTTCGCAAAAAAAATAAATAAATAAAATAAAATAAAATAAAAACCTATGACATTTTATGCAATTTTTAATACTTTTCTAGCAATAAAGTTCCATACATTATGAGTTTATTTCATAACCGCTCTATTTTTTTAATGGCAAATATAGAACTGGTTCAGATTTTTTCTTCGTATTCTCTTCTTACAACTAATGACGTTTATTCAATAATATTTGACGATATTGAGCGCGACAACGGTCAATCAAATCAATGATTTTGTATGTTGCCTAACCTCTTTTGGTGCAACAATTTTTTTTCTGCTTATTGACTAGGTGAATGACTGATTATGAGGTC